CCCGCCGACTCCTTCCCTTCTTGGTGAATGGTTTCTCTCTCTAGAGATGGCGAAGATTCGAAGCTAGAGGAAGAAGAAGAGCCCCCTGAAGTGGAATTGACCGAGGTGAGAGGAGACTCAACCGTCTTGGCCTTCACAACCCACGCCAAATGCGTAGCTGCAACAACCCAGATAGTCAGCGGAGAAGCGACGATCGGTTCACCTGGCGCAACGGAGGAATGATCTACAACAACCTCCCTCTGCGTTTCCTCGGAGCCCGTTCTAGCCCCTTCACTTTGCCTTGCAATAACGGAGTGAGATCACACAATTATGGTTAACCCATCGGTCACCATGTTTTAAACGACGACTGTTGACTCAGAAACAAAAGTTATAAATTGCCCTACCAGGGCACACAACATTAAGAATGACACCTGTCATAAAGGTCTGACGGGAGGGACCAACCTTCAACTTCTGTCGTTGCTTTTCCTCAGCCGTTTTTGCTCTGGCGGCTTCGTTGGCGTTCAAAGCTCTCCAGTCACTCAGGGTCATCCTCCCTTCCATTACTCGGTTCACTGTCCGTTCTGCTGCATACTGAGAGACCAACATTAGACTCCCTTTCAACACCTCCCGGACGTCCCGCAGATTGGCCGGTAAGGCCCTCGGCTAGCTACCTTCCACCTTCTACGGGTGAGTGGCAATCTCCCAATCACCAGATGTAGAGTTGACTTAGAGTTTTCTATGTCAATCCTTAATCTTATTCTCAACACCGAGCAAGTAAAGTTTTCTTCCAAGTGAAAACATGACAAACCCTTTCTTGCCGACCTTGAAGGAGTAGTGACTGAAGGTGTCGATCGACCAGAGGATACTGAAATGACGACAAAACACGACGAAAGCCACGATGGCCGCGATGGAGTTCGAAAGAACTTGGGCCAGAATGACCCCGTATTTAGTAAGCACGCTCTTAAGCTCCGACCATAGGTGCAACTGGATACCACACTTAAATTGATCCTGGCAAAACACAAGATCAGGGCCCACGTCGTCCGTGAGGCGCCTTGCGGTGGACATCCTGTGAAGGGTGATCTGTGCACCCGACACATAACGCTTCTGAAGACTATTCACGTCCTCGTCCGTCAAAAAAGAGGAAACGACTGCCAGCACGATGCCGACGAGAACCAGAGAATACTTTGGAGCCATCATAGTCGAATGAATAGAACATAAGAAAATGACGGAAAAGAAATCAGAAAACTCGGAGAGCAGAATGCAAAAGTTGGAAGAACCGACTCCTGACCCTATTTATAGGGCAAGCACATAGATCGAAGAGTCACATAAAAGATAAGTGTTACAACAATTATCATTTCAAATTCCTCCAAAATATCATTTTATTACAAATAATATTATTACATGTTTCAGATGAAGTGGTTGACAAATTGGTCCTCCATGGCTTCGGGCAGGGCATACCCCTTATCAAGCAATCTCTGAAGGACCATCTCTCCACCAAGTCTAATATGCTCTATCCAGCCGGCCTCATTATGAAATCGACTCAGAACTAATGAACCGAGGATGAATCCCATCTCAACTCGGACGTCGTTCAGGGAACCTCACAATGACGCGACCTCTCTCTCCAGCCAGGCGATGATAGCCGACTGTTGACAGGCGATCTTTAGGCGTTCACAACGAGCCATCCATCCCAACACAGATGAGTCGGTAGGGCTTTCAGTTGTCTGGTTCATTAAATATCTTTGATTCTTTTTTATTCTCTCTCATTGATGGTTCATTATGGTCTTTCACGCGAGAGTAAGGAGCTGAAGGCTAGTTTGTGCTACTAGTTACTTAGGGAGAGGACGACTTTTCTGTACATTGCAATGGTGAACTTCATCACATTCGATTCCCTGACAAATTACGTCATCTTTGATTGATTTCTGGTAAACACTTTCTCAATGAAGTCATGTCATTGTGTTATGATACAGTGAAGTTTCCAGCGAGAGTTTGATCTCTCACTATCCAAGGAGATTTGTTGCAACTCTGAACAATTGCCACTTTATCAAATCAACAAAATCCTTTAAGGGACCAAATTAAGATATCTAACTTAATTATTTGATGCAAGCAGTAATAGTCCATTGAGTGTTGGACAAGCCTTCTCCTTTTTTCTTTTCGGAATGTGGTGCGACATGAGGTACCCTTTCTTTCTCCCTAAAGATATCACAAGATGTGAGCTATCAGACTGTTTTTTATTTATTTTTATGTTTCAAGTGGTTTGTGTAGAAATATATCCCCTTTTTTACCGTGGGCTAATAACAAAGAAGATTGGTCTTTGTTAAAACATTTATATGTTCTCTCAATGAAATAATATTTAATAGCTACATGATTAAGCCAATTAATGGGATACTTGGGATGCTATCTAGATTTGTGATCATTTTTTATTTGTCATTCATTAGTTCTATTTGTTCCATTTGATTTTTGGTGTGCATTTGGTATAGTGAGATATTTGAGACATGCTATTGATTTGTGTCGAAATTTGATCTTCACTTGTTTCTTCTATAGTTATTATTACGTATTGTTTAAAAATGTACATGCCCTTAGTGCACATCATTAGTTATTTATTTAACGAGTTAAATTTTATTTTAGTTTAAATGTTGTATTCTATTATGATTTATAATTATAAATGATTTAATTAAGATTGATATTTGAAGTATTTGAGAATAGGAATGTTGAAGTTTATAATATGTTATTAAGAAACATTATTATTATAAATGACTTAATTGAGAGTAATTTTTGAATTGTTTGTCATTAAAATTGAATGAAATTCTAAAGAGAAAAAAATCTTGTTCACTAGAAGTCTAGACCTATACATATATATATATATATATATACACACACACACACACACACACACACACACACACACACACACATATATATAAAGAGCATTTACTTTTTAATTTCAAAAAAATTAAAAATTAAAAATAATGTAAGTAAAATGTGAGACTAAAATAAAATAACTAAAAATATTGAGAAATTGAATGACTAAAAAAATTAAACAAGAAAAGGAATTGGTTATTATATCAAAGTGATCTCATAAGTATATATATAGACTCCATTGAGATTTCTAGATATAATATTAACTGTAAATGAACATTTATGATAAAATTATCAAGTGTCATTATTGAAAATTGCACATAACTTGTGAGTTTCTCATGACTCCGTGTATAGTTATATATGAAATATCTATTTGCAAAAAAAATTCTTAAAATCAATTTAATATCTCTTAGAATTGTATGAAACCCTTAAATTTTAAATATAACAATATAACATCAGTGAAGACCAATAAATGGTTTAAGATTATCTTCTAAAATTAAAATTCTAAGATCATAGATTGGTAGATTCACATGTCATTTTTAAAATATTGCTTTGGACATACATGTTTTAGGGGCATTTACTTGCATATCACAAAATTCTAATATATTTACATGTTGCTCACCACCTAAACTTCCATATTTGTCCACATATTGCTCAAATCTTTATTATCACATCAAAAATAGTATTATTATCACTTTTTAAAAGTGAAGTATACAGTTTCATGCATTAGTTTAAAGCAACAAAGTGCCATGCACGCAAACGTGAAAGTTTAGGTGTGAGATATGTAAATACGTATGAATTGTGTGCTACGAATGTAAATATCCCTATTTTTTTTTTAACATTAATGGAGCTGATTTCATCTTCTCAGCTCAAAATTTAACTTTTCCCTTGCAGATTAAACTTTGTGAAACTTGTTGATGATTTTGATGAAGGAAAGATCTCATGGAAGCAGTTCAGATCAAAGGTGAAGAAACTTCACAAGAATCGAATTGGCGCTCCATACTACAGAGAGCCCGGAGCAATTCCCAAGTTTGAAGAATCTTTCTATGCGAATCCACTGCCTGGATGCATTTGTGAGAAGCCACACAAAACATAAAAGGCTCAGTCTAATAGTCTCTGACTTCTCACTCATATTGCCACCATTTACAGGAGAAGATACTCCCCCCATTTATTCTAAAATTCATTAGAATTTTTCTTTTTCTTTTTATTTCTTATTTTTATTATAATAGGCATGAAAGCAATGCCAATATTTGGCAACTCAGCGCTTAAAGCTTAGGATAGAAAACATTTATTTTCAGAAGAGAATTGAAGCTGTTGATATCAGAAGCTTAATGATGGTGCCATGGACTAAAATAAAAAATAACAAAGAGCTCAGATCATCCTATCTGGCATGATTACAATGTACAGAGAAGGATTTTTTTGATTTTTTTTCATTTTTTGTGGCATGATCTGATCAAATTTGATATAATAAGCTAAGATGGCTTTCATACCTATCATTTTTTTCTCTTATTCTTTATAAGTCTGTTAGTCTATTGGGGAATGAATCTTGTTTTTCTTTTGGTGTGAAATAGCTTGAGATTCTTCTGTTCTTTTGACAATAATTGGCTGACTTAATAATAACATGGCTTCACAGTTTTGCTGTTTTAAATTATGAAATGCTTTTTATTTATATATTTTTCTTTTATTTTTGGGGAAGCAGATGTTATAGGGGGTGTATGGTTGGCAAATAGGTGAAGTTTATTCATATATTTATAATGAGATATCAATTGAAAATAGGAAAGAAGACTAGCTTGTAAAAGCCCATGAAGATTTTCTTGTATGGATTCATCTAGTTGATGATTTATGGGATTTTATGGTCTTGTTTCAATTATGATGGATTTTATTATAGTTTGATTGTGAAGAGTAACATATCTAGTTTTTCTATTATTTGCTTCTTCATTTTAAAAAAAAAAAAATCTAGAACAATGGAACTAGTAGTAAAAATTTTAAAAATATCTTTATTAAAATAACTATAATAATGATTAATTTCTGGGGATTTCTTGGTGAGTATGAGTAATTAGGATTGTAAATAAGCAGAACAGGAGCGAGCCCAGGCTCAGCTCGTGTCGTGTTTTGCCAAACTTTATATTTTGAGCTCAAAAAGTGTGTTCGTGTTTAGCTCGTTTGCTTAACGAGTCGAACACGAGCTCTTCAAGAACAACGAGTAATTTTGACAAATCCTAATCACATAGCCATAAGATTTTAAGGGTTGGGGAAAGATTTAAAAATTATTATTTATATTAAAACATCATTTGAATATATATATA